TATCTATAAATTGTATAGAATTTAAATAGAATTCTTTCTATAACATATTTTTCTAAGCAATTCTCTATATAATTATATTTCTATAGAACTATCTCTATAGAGAATGGATAGGTTTTATATAGAGAAATAATTCTTGGATCCAATTTTCTATAGAAGTCTATAAAAACTCATAAATGTCTATAGACTTTCTATAGAATTCTATAAAACATTTTACTACGGGAATAGTTATAATAAAAAAAACACAGTGCTCGAATAAAAACGATGATGTAAAGAGAGTACCGAGCCTAGCTTCAACGAAAAATTTTCTTTTAAATTTGTTTGAACATAGTTTGAAAAAGTTTCTCCCAAGTAAATTGACCCTGCGATATCTCACTGTCAATAATAATAACAATAATACAGTGATAATAATAATAACAATAATAATAATAATAATACAGTGATAATAATAATAATGATAATAATAATACAGTGATAATAATGATAATAATGATAATAATAATAATAATAATAATAATAATAATAAATAATAATAATAAATAATAATAATAATAATAATAATAATAATAATAATTAATAAATAATAATAATAATAATAATAAAATGCAACCCCTGGGTATTTACTGTGTACTTTAAACAAGCAGAAAACACATTATGATAGCCTACACAGATCTAAAATCAAACCCTTTAAACAGAACTACAGTAAAACCCCTATTAAGGAGACACCTTCGGGACCAGAAAAGTGTCCCCTTTGTGTCCCCTAAATAGGGGTTAGCCGTAATGCTAAAAGATATACTTCCCCTCATTTTGTGGCCGAAATTGTCCCCTTAATAGTAGTGTCCCAAAGGAGGAGTTCTACTGTATTAAAATATTCCCAAGATTGGTATTCTTATTAGCTCAGCTAAATTTGACATAGCGGCGCAGCTCATGGAAAGTTGAAACTTTAACATAGACATGTTAAAATGATAATGATTGCCTTTCTGATGCCTGATTTGATGCACTGTCAATCATAAGGTAAACTCAACTAAATTTAGATTATTTTCAATAATTATCAATAACATCCATACTTCATTTAACATGGTAGGCCTAATACAAAGTTAGTGAACCAAAGAACAGCAGTTGCTTTTTAATACATCTCAATATTGTACTACACAATGCAAGTCATACAGGACACTCTGTGCCGCCTAGTTCCGTATGTTTTGTTCTATCACTATATTTCGTTAAAAGCATTTTGTATAGAGGGTAATAACAAGTTGGCGTATCAAAAGACAAACCTTTCGCTATAGTGCTATGAATACTGTGTACATGCGGAAAACGGTTTGTATTTTAATTTTTCAAAGGACGGGAAGCGTAGGCTTCTGTGATAAATTAAAGTGACCCACCAATTAGACTAACGACTACTAAACTGATGACACGTCCACAGAGAGATAAACAACCCGGTCGCTGGTATAGGCCTAGTACGATACAATTAAACGTGTAATTTCAAATTACCCAAAAAAAAATTTTAAAAAATATAAAAAAAAAACCATCTCCTAATAGATCTACCTTAGCAGAAAAAGTTTCACCCAGGTGTATAGCGATTGCTTTCAACTCGACGGAGAGTATTTTTGGCCCGTAAGATCAAGTCTAACGATGATTTGGCCCTTCAAACAAATTAATGAAGAACCAGGGATATAAACCTACAGTACTTACAACAGAAGCATTCAAACCCATCTTAGAAAGGCCTTTTTATCAGGTGTATTTTGAAACAGCCGGGGACACCGTAGTAGATTTCTTGCCAAATTTTTTATGTTAGCTGTATAGATAGATAACTTTATTTGTCCTCGTACATTAAAATATACAACAGGAAATTCATCTTCCATTGGCATATATTCATTAAATTACAATATAAAAACTACATAATAAAAATATTAAATATTTAAATTTTAAAAAATGCAATGATTAAATTACAAATCAGCAAATTTGATGAATAATTAGTATAAAAAATATGTGATTAATTAATGTTGAATATAAAAGTATAAAAATTACAAATACATAAATTATGATTATTATTATTATTACCGTACTACAAAATTTAAGATCATTAGGTGAATTAATAATATCTGATACCATTTTATAATTTACACTAATCTTCTTCCAAAAAATACCTTACTACACCTTCATTGTGTAGATGAAATGCATTTATAACGAACGAGTATCTAATTCTATTACGTTTGGCACTGAGGGCTCTGAATCTAAATCCAGATCTCATATAACAGAAATAATTTCAACGTGGATGAGAATGATCTTTTAAAATTGTATATAATTTATTTTTAATACTCTTCACATAAATTTCCTCTATTGTGTCCAATTCTAATCCAATACTTTTCTGTGCAATTTTCCTGACTCTTTCCATTTTCTTTTTATTTTTAATTCCAAAATTTCCAAAAGTACAGAAAATTCCAAAAGTAAGAACACTTTGTATAACTGGTTGATAAAAAAGCTTAAGTATGGTTTTGAAATAACCTTTGAAATAAATCCTTTGACTTGCTTTCTTAACAAGATTACTGCAATGAGAACTCCATTTGAGAGAGTCGTTGAGTGTTACGCCAAGATATTTGTATTCGTTTGCTCGTTCAATAACATTATCATTTATTTCAACTGTGCCATGATCAAGATGCTGTATCCGAAAATCAAATATTATTTCCTTTGTTTTATCAATGTTTAGGATGAGATAATTATCATGGCACCATTTTACAAATTTACTAACCTCGTCTTTATACACAACTGAATCATTCTTTAAATAGCCACAAATAACCATATCGTCTGCATATTTAATAATCCTAATTTTTGGAGAGGCACAAATACAATCACCAGTAAAAAGAGTGAACAGAAGGGGCGACAGGACACACCCTTGTGGTGTCCCAGTGTTAATAGACCGTAACTTTGACAGAGTATGGCCAACTTTAACATGTTGTTGCCTGTTACTTAAAAAGCACTTCATCCACATGTAAACCATAATGTAAACATTGAATATCGGTATTTAGGTCTTTTTCTATTTTAATTAAATAATTGTGTATGATGGATTAATGGGTTGATGACGTGCGTGATGGTCTATATCTATATTGGTGGATATTGTAAAAGACAATGAAGGGGCTAGAAACAAATGAGGGGCCTTCAATATAGGTTACATAAATTATCTGTCATGTTAACATTTGTATGGAAAATAAATATAATGTATATGCTTTGAATTCTTAAATATTTTTGTTTACGTTTTGATATCTCCACCAGGACCTGGACTCGCTTTTGTTGCGTACCCTGAAGCTGTTGCTAGGATGCCATATTCCCCACTCTGGTCGTTCCTATTTTTCTTCATGTTATTCACACTTGGATTGGATAGTCAGGTACAAAGAATTTATCTCACATTACTTTCAACATTTTACTAAATACTGAAGTACTGAAAATCTTTATTTAAAGTTATAAAAATACAACAGGCACGTTAAAACATAACTAGAGTTATTGTATTGTATTGTTATATATTTCATTGTAATTAAAAAGTTGACCTATGCATTTAAATTATTTATACGTTTATAGACTATGAAATAACATAAATTATAATTACCTTCATTAATCATGCTGTGTATGACAACTTAAATTAGATTAGGTCTTTTTATATAGGACATATTTAATTTTCTATTCAATATTTTTCAAAATTTTAAAAAAATCATTAATAAGAAGGTCAGTATTACTTATTACTTATTGTACGTGTATAGTTGCTTTTCTATACATATTTTATATCTATACAGTATATTTATTTCATATTATTATATTACCAACTGCGATCACTTAATATACTTTAAAAATTGATTGATAATCGATTAACTTTATGATTATACAACAGTTTGTAATGATGGAAACAGTAATCACGGCGTTTTGCGATGAACTTTCAACTGTAATCAAGGACATGAAATCCAAGAAAATTTGGTTCACATTAGGATTTTGTGTTGTTGGCTTCTTGCTGGGAATACCCCATGTAACCGAGGTATGCATATTAATCAATACATATTCGTATTCATGCCCCCACTGATTCCAAAACCTACACTATTATTTATAATATCTCTAATGGCGTCATCTTTACTATTCTAATCATTTTTGATAATATGATTCCAGGGAGGAATTTATTTACTGACATTAATGGACAACTACTCTGCTGGATTCTCCCTTCTGTTGATTGCATTTGTGGAATTAATAGTTATATGTTATGTTTACGGTAAGTAAACTTGTCTATAGAGTACATTTAAGGGAAATATTTAAAACTTTTAAGGACTTACAGAGATTTATCCTAATATAAGTCACTTGTACCTGGATACATTTTAAAAGGTATCATTTATGTACGGAACGAAGGCTTTGTTTTATGACGTGCAGTGTTATTATACTGGGTTGTTGCAGCAACGTACCTCCATGCAGTTTTTGACAAATGAATAATATTGATAAACGGATGATTATTGCAACATTATATTATAAAGTATGAAATAATGTATATATGAATAACAATTATAAATTTGTTAAAGTATGAGCATCAATACAGTACTTTGCTATAAATAAAGTTATTTAAGTTAAACAGCCGACTGTTCTGTTCTGATTTACATTTTGATGTATATCACCGAATTACCCTCCTAGACCTATACTACAACTTCTATTAATCAATTATTCATATAATCAATTATTCAATTATTCAATCAATCAATCATTCGATCAGTCCATCAATCAACCGCCAATTAGCACAAATACTAGTTTTCAATTTTCTCTTATGTCCAACAGGTATTTCGAGGTACACAGAAGACATTAGTATTATGCTTGGTTTCACTCCAAACATTTACTGGAAAGTATCTTGGTTATTTATCACTCCGTTAGTGACAGCAGTAAGTATATTCGTATATTCATATATTGTATGTATCATCTAGATGTGTATAAGAGACAGGGATCACCTTTGAGGGTAAAGTTGGCATCATCCCTGCTGGCCCAGTGAATGCAAACTAGAAGATGCACTTAATCATAGTTGAGTGTAGTTTTTTAATGGTATATTTTCATATCAATAAAAACAGTAATAGCCTCAACAGCGACAGTAGCAATAATACTCCACTTTTAGCAGATATACTGTATTGCTGTGCTGCTGTCTCTTATACACATCTAGATGTGTATAAGAGACAGTATATATATATATATATATATATTAACAAATCTGATCAAAAGTTTTTAAAGAAAACCGGCTCAAAATTGATATTGAGGATAAGTTCATTCCATTTTTGATAAAGATATTAGTGGGATATATTGTTTAACTTGAATTTTGTATAATTACACAAAAGTGTAGAACAATACACATTTAAACAAATACATACATTTAACTTAATTAGAACATCTATTGATTTTTTTTTGCTATACACTTGGCTCTATTTCATTACGCCCTGTGACGTTTATGTATTTTAAGTATGAAATATTATCAAAATATGTCTTCGAATAATTTTATTAGGTTTTATATGTAGTTAATGGTTGCAGTAATGTTAAACATAGTAAAATTATACGTACTGTTAGGGTTCGTTCCACTATAAGTGAATCTACGTCAGACAATGAAGCTGGGAGCTAGATGTTGTTCGCATGTATGACCAAATTCTAGCTCCCCTAAAAACCGTGGCCCCCAGAACTCCTTACAGGATAGCTGGAAGAAGGCGCTATCTAGATCCCAGCTTCACTGTCTGACAAAGATCAACCGAGAGTAGAACGTGACATAGCAGTACGTACACGCTACTTTGTTACTTGTTACTTGTTAGTTGTATAGCGCTTTCTTCTCAATTACGAAGTTCTTTTAACTGGTCATTGGGTCCACATGCTAAGCGTTGCTGCTGACAATCAGCGCAGGAGCAGGTAACCCCACCAGGTTCCCATTTATACTCCTGGGTGAAGAGAAGCAATGCAGATGAAGTGTCTTGCTTAAGGACACAAGCGAAATGCACAGCGAGGGATTGAAACCCTGACCTCGAGGTTCGAAATGCGCCAAACCGCTTTGTTTAACATTAAGAATACTACAAACATTATCATTAACATATTCAAGATTTACCTCATTGAGAAAAGAAATTGGCGTACCACTGATTTTATGGATGCGCGGATAAAACATCATACACCTAGATTTGTGTGCATTGTATATAATATAATTAAAAACATCAAATTATATAGGTATCATTTTTTAAAATTCTACTAATGTTATTATTATTAAAGATCATTGTTTTTCTTGAATTTCTAGTTTATCTTTGTGTTCTTTTGTGTCGGATATGCTCCATTGAAATACGAAGGAGAATACGAGTTTCCACCGGCAGCAGAGGCACTTGGATGGCTTATGGTAATAGCTTCGTTAGTGCCAACTCCACTCATCGCAGGTCTAGAAATTTATAAGTCTAAAGGATCATTATTAGAGGTATGATTAATAGTTTTGTGGTATAAATACTATTATAATACGGATTAATATTACGATTGCGTTTACTATTACTGTTACTATTATTTTACTAGGCCTATCACTATCACTATTTTGTTAATATTTCCGCCAGGAGATGTGTGGGTGTGTGTGTGTGTGTCACGTTTTGGTGTTTTCGTGTGGTTTTTTTGTGTATCTCGAAAACGGCTGCACAGCCATAATTAAAAATAAAAGGAAGTGTTAGGTATAACCCAATGACAAAATGATTAAATTTTGGGACGGTCTGTAGTAGAATGTGGACAGTAGTGGCGCCAGAGGGGGCTGGGGGCTATAGCTCCCGTCGGGGAAGCATAGCCCCTCCCCCCCCCCCGTCGTAGAAGACGATAAATTTTGTCGGGGAACAAACAAATAAAAAACAATATTTACATGTAATATTCGTTTAGCCAACATACTTTTTATTACAACAACAATAACAATAATAATAATAATAATAATAATAATAATAATAATAATAATAATAATAATAATAATAATAATTCAATGAGACTAATTAAGGATAATTTGCGTTCTGTTATGACAAATGCTCATTTTTATAGCCTCATGATGGTTGGAATACATCGTGATAGGTGAAGTAACCTCGACCATGACAGCGTGGTTGACAGATTTCATGCAAAATTTCCAAAATATAGAATTTCACTTTCAAGATATATGGATTTGAAAATAAATTAGATGGTTACATTGCATACGCTTTGTTTCTTGCTTTATTCAAAATGTTTTGGTTTTAGAAGCTGATTTCAACATTAGAAAGCATACCGTAGCCTACATGAAGTCATATTATAGTAACTCGATGCCTATCAAATAAGTAATAAAAATTCGCCATAATTCATCAAATATCATAGGCGGCCTCCCTGGCCCCCAGCCAAGTACGAGAATCGATTCGCTCCACTAGCCCCCCGTCGGGGCCTTTAGCCCCTCCGTCGGGCAGGTCCTGGCGCCATCCCTGACCATATGTAATTTTTTTAGGTATAACCACTGGTTAAGTGTTGGTGACGATCCAAATTTGGGTGTACTTTTGAGGGCCATTAGGTTCCAGACCTAAATATCTCGAAAATTGTTCAATCGATAAAAATGACAATTCGCAAATAACATTGTTATTATTATTATTATTATTATTATTATTATTATTATTATTATTATTATTATTATTATTACATTTTTTTACAGAGAGTACAACGATCAGCTCAACCAGATTCTGAATGGGGACCATTTCTTAACAAACATCGCCGTGAGTTACGTTACCCGGAGATTGAAGGGCGTGGTGATTATGATGAGAACACTGTACCCCTTTCATCACCCCCATCTTACTACACAGCCATTAACTGTGTCGATTCTCCCGTATAAGATTGAGTCAAAAATGAAAATGGTTCTAAAAGCTAGCTGACAGAATTGAGAACACACCCGAATGTAAAATGATGATGTTGTCTGAGGACATTACTTGCGTAAAGACAAACAACGTACGCAGGCTAGTTGAATTGTTTAGCTAGTTCACTACATTTAGTGAGGTATCTAAGGTGTTGGTGGCGAGTAGACTCAGCTTTTCCAAATTTCAAATCAATGTTTCCAAATGAGACGCATGCGCTACATGTACGTAGGCCTTCGTTGCGTGAAACCGGAGCTGATTGCTATGTATCTCACAGATATTTTATAGTACACAGTATCTGTGTGTTATGTTTGTACTGTACTGGCTTAGGTTATGTTTAAATTTTCATACACATGTAAATTAGGTTGTACGCCGACTGTGTTGCATGTGATTAGAAATACATGGCTAAAATAATCTTGCCCATACCTTGGAAGAATACTGAACAAACTTTTTTTTTTGTAAGATATGATGTAAAATTAATGAATTTTAAGCTGCAGTAAAAGAAACAATATAAAACTAATTTAAAATGAATAAGTACTTTAATTATGAACAATGCAGGGTAATGATCTGCAGTTATTTGAAATGCAATATTATTAATTTAATATTATTAAATTAATAAATTAATAAATTAAATACTTAATTAAATAAGAATCCATCAGCTATAATAAGAAGTTATGTCAAAAATTCTTGACAGTGTGTTCTACATTTAAGAGTACCACAAGTATACACAAATGAAACGTCAATTTTTAGCTTTGCTACCGAGTTGGAAGCGATGAGGGCCACAGACTAAGTGTCTAGTTAAGTCGTGCGAGTTGGCGTCCCTAAGCATACCTACCTGGCCAATCAACGGATGCGATACAACTAATTAGGTATATTTAATGACCATACATGCCACTTGCTTTAATGAAACTTGCTCACCATTGGTAATTAACACCAATTAACACACACACACCTTGTTACCACAAAGGTGTGGTGTTACTTATGGCTTTGATACTAATTTATACAAAAAATAACGATAAAAAACATTAATTTTTGTCATAATTTAATTAATGTAAACCCTAATCTAGTCGCTTCGAGTCGACTAAAGGAACATAAATTTGATGCTTGAAAAAAAGTGCTTGCTACATGTACGATCATTAGGCCTACCCAGAAATAATAAATACAAAAAAAAATAATGACAAAATGCTGTGAGCCTGACTGTGGATATGTACATAAATATTAGAATTTACCCAAAACTACCCCAACCCCACCCGATTAAAAAAAAACTAACGTGATATTGCATCCATCGCGAAGGCTGATTTTAATGTTAAATTTTTAATATATTCTTTTCTTTACATATTTGCAGTACAGTACTTTACTCTAGCTGTAAATTGAATATCAAACTTTGGGTGCATTTTAGTTACCTAGGGGGATCTAAATGTTACCAATTATTCTCTATTGGCTTATAAATAATATAGACCTTTCAGGTAATGCCGGGCACACACTCCGTCGTCTAACGACCGTTTTCCGAAGAATCATCCACCTCCGCTGTCTGTGTGAGCGGATTAAGAAACCACACTGACTTCTTATTTGCGATGGTAGTCTGAACAGATCGTCACAAATAATCCGTCACGCGCCTCATCAAGTTGCCTTCTCCATGAAATCACACCGGTCCACACCGGCGAAGTGTATGCCCGATTTGAACCCGCCACTTGGATGTTGTTGCTAAGATCCCACAAAACGTCAGTGTAAACGTACGTAAACACATCTGTTTTTGTGCCTATGTCCTCTCGAGGGTAAAGACTCTATGTTGTCGTCTGGCAGTAAAAGATGGCTGAAAATGGTAAATCCGGTGGAGGTAAGTCATCTGCCATCTTAAGTACTTTATTACTGAAAAAAGGTCATAAAAAATACACCACACATTTCCTGCTAACCGAATCCCATGCGGATATTTTATTAGTAAATATAATACAGTAGGGCAGTATAGGGCATAGACACACTATTTGTGTGACTGTTATAGGTGTTTTGGTACAATTGCACATTCATGTCCTGATTGGTCAGTTTTTAAGTTTGTTTGACACTCCGAAAGGTCGTTTTGTCTCTTCTATTACTGTAAGCTTATTGCAATAAATAATAGAGTCAAGTAAATAAGTTGTCGAGTCTCAATTTATATCGAGCTTTCGATTGCACGACGACGTCAGTAAAAGTCATCTGCGCATGCGAGAACGTAACGGTCACCTCGTCGAGTAGATTCTGAAACGCAATTTGGCCAAATCCACGTACGCGGAGAACGTAGGACGCCAGGTAGGACGGTCACGCATGAGTGATTCCGTTCTAGCGTTGCGTTGTCGGACAAATCGAAAGCTCCCTATTACGTTTTTGCATGGTTTTTTATTATAGTTATTTATTTGTCTGTCGGCATATTTGTTATGAACAGCCTACAGCCCGTAGTTTTTATTAGAAATTCATCAAACACAACGTTTATTTACCTAAAATCAGAGCTGATTAAATTTTGAAGGGTCAGTGTCAAAGGTCAAGGTCACAATCAACGAAAAACTATTTATTTTTTTATCTACAGCCCATAGTTACAAACTTGGTCACAATGTTCCATGACCAAAGATCTCATTACCTCCGCCAACAAAGTTGGCAGCAGGTTATGTTATTGCCCCTGTTAATTAATTAATTAATTAATTACTTGATTAATTAATTAATTATTTGATTGATTGATGGGGTGTTTGTACACATTTACATTTCAGAAAATAATTTAACTTTGGGTGTAAACTGTTGTTAAAATCTAAAAGTACAAAATAAATGTACGGTAGGCATAGATTTAACATAAACATTAACAGTAGAACCTTCGAACCTTCAGAGTTTACTGTGATTTTTAAGCATTATATTGCTTTTCATTTTGTTTCAATGATGCATCTTACATTTTCAAAATTATGATGTTGCCTATGCATAGCCTTATGTAGCTTGTTATCATAAAGAAATATCACTTGGCCTCAATAAATTTTTGAAATTAATCTATCTACACAAACAGGACTTTACATATTTATGTGTGAGATCCGAACAAATTACATATTTTTTGTAGCATATCTCACACATCAGTGGTGTATCCAGGGGATTCGGACGAACACCCCTCCCCTGTGAAGAAATGTAGACAAAAAATACGACTGGGTCCTGGCCTACAAAAGGCATGCTAAACTACCTATACGTAGGTAGACATATCGGACAGACAAGGCTTAATTTCACTAGCCTTCAAGATAAATTTGCCTGAATGTTGAGGAACTTAAAATTCTTTAAAATTAGATACCTCAGAAGTCGGGAAAGCTCATTCTCCGCCATCTAGGCAATTTTCACGGGGAGCACCCTGGACCCTCCTTTCTTTTAGACTGAAACCATTGCAGTTTATTGAAGATTTCGCTGAATTTACTGCCCATTGTCCCCCGGTTGGGCAAAGCTCTGGCTTGTAGACCACCTCAGCCCCACCGTGGTTGGGGCTGAGGTAAGAAAATTTATGATTATGACACCTGTAGTTACCTCAGACTTTGAATATAATTTTCTTTTTTCTCCACTTCCAAATTTTGAAAAAATAGGGATAATGGGCCTGCTGGGATCCCTTGGACCCGCCACTGAAATGTTAACACAATTTCTTTGCCTTTACCACAGTCCTTTTAAATCAATTAAGAGGTTTTCCTTTTCTCCTCTTTTTGAATTCCACTTTTGTGCAAGTAGATTGCGACTACACTATTGTGAGTGGACAAACTACCGTCCAACTTACGATCAAACAGGACTAAGAAGCACAAAAGATAATAGTTAGTATATTTATTTTACAAACATAAAGGTGATTGACTAAATTCATGATGTCATGGCGAGATTGCGTCAAACATCGGAGTTCGTAAAACTTGTGGTATATTAAATAAGTCGAAATAGATAGACCTATCCGTGTCCAAGCTACGGCTATATAACATTCAATTGGCTAGCTATTTTTTTTTTTTTAATAAGGAAAAACCGGAATCTATGTATGCAGATAATATTGAACACTAGTATATACGGGTCTCAATAACATACAAAAAAATATCGTTTATAATAGAAATTTTGCACTTTTGAATTTGTACAAATATTGGCCTAAGTGGTTTACACGCTTCCAAGCCGAGTGTGTCGTAGATGCGCAGCTTAAAACCTGTTTTAAATAATATATTAAAAATTTGCAAACGCCAAAAGCAAGTGTATTGGTGAAGGCTCAGGGCATCCCATAGCGTGTATTAATAGCGTCTTATGACTCTATAAAACAAACATACAAATGTACACAATAATGACATACACGTACAAGCATCAACAAACAAGCCCTGAGCGACACAAACCCACACAGCCAGTTTTACCTTCACTGAGGCAATATTTGTAGATACAGTAACTTTTAGCCCTGATGTTGTGAACAAATGACATAATTCCTCTATAAATTACACATAGAGTCATAATTATGTAATTAAAGCAGGGAACAGTTAATTAAAGTTCAACACACACCTCATCGTAAGTGTTAATAGAGTGGGGATGTTCTTCGCAGATGCATCTTACTGCTTGCCAGTTACCCTTTTAAATAGCCTTTGTTAACTTGTTTCTGTGAAATATTTAACAAGCAATGTTTGTAAGGATACCTAATATTGACTGAGTAATATCAAACCTTGTGTTTTACAAATACATTTTCAACATCGACATAACCAGGTCCGTATCTAGGGGGTGAGATTGGTGGGTGGTTATGCATCTTCCCACCCCTAAATCGGAAAGACATACAAGAATGTACTGAATATAAAGTTTATCTTCTTTAATAAAGATTTACAAATAATCTTAATTCTTTATATTTTAACCAGCAATTTATCATTAGGCCAGTATTTTGGGCATGAAGATTGGCACAGTAAAAAAAAACTCAAATATGCGATCTAACCGATTCTTCCCCCTGACCCCAGTTGGCTCTTTTTTTGCACTCCTCCCACCACCCTAAAGGCAATCCTGAACATGACCCTGATTACCATAATGATTGTTATATTTTAATAAAGCCATTTTAACAGTTTTCATCAACATGGATTGGATTGGATTATTCGGTGTAAACAACAAGGATAGCCTAGTCTAGAAGAAGACTTACTTCCAGTGTGGTCCTTCTGGTTGTGATTCGGCAGTACACTGGGAGACAATCCCCTACTCTTTTCCGAAGAGTGAACTGCGTTACGTGCACATGGGCCATAAATGCACACGGGACCAACGGCTTGAACGTCTCATCCGAAAGACGGTACGCTATTGTAACTTGTATTTCAACCCTCCAGCTGAAACACAAGGAGAGGCAGCGATGGGAATTGAACTGGGACCTAGAGATCACCACGGTTCAGCGCACACACAGTGGCTACCACCAGATTAGCCGACTGAGCTAAGCTGCTCTCTACCTCTCTCACGAAAAGAAAATATAGATGTAATTGTTAAGTAGTACCAAAATCATTATCATTGTTATGTCTCTCATTCAATCACTATGACAAATGGACAACAAAACCACATCTAAGTAATCCAAAGTGGTTGTACTCGAACTTTCTCTGCTCTTACAATAATAGAGAGCGATATACAACTTTGAGTACACCACATCTCTCCTTTTTTCAGATTACTCTATCCAACAATAGCATAACAAACAATTCAAACATTAAATGAAAACCGTTAAACCTTTTACAAGCATGTACTGCAAGACTTTGAAACAAACTGTAAATAGTCTACCAAACCAATATGCATTAATATTGCAAATTATGTTAGTACAATAAACCTTATTCTGAAAAGTGAGTGCTGTTTTTTTTTATTTCGTTATTTACTTCACAATGTTATGATGATAGTTAACATAATTACCATATACTGTATACTATATCTGTGTGTATGAATTTAAAAAAAAAAATATTTTTAACCGACATCATAAATCACTTCGACTACTCTTGAACAACATCTTTACTAACTATTATAACACAACATTTTTAATCACTACTACTACTCTTGTCATCTTTACAAATCGAGTCTATCCGGTTTCTTCCTAATACGCAGAGGATACCTCCTTTGCGGTTCTGGATTTTGGGTCTCATTGATTGTTGGACCCTCCTCCCAGTTTCCATTAAGTCATCGAGTGCCGTATCCTCAACTGTGACGTCATCTGTTTGTGGTCTACTACCATAAAACCTCTTCACATGTGTAATATTTCGTTTCCGACGCCTGTTTGCATCATTCCGATCACTTATAGTGACTTGATTACCATATCTAGAAACTACGTCATACACCCTAGGTTCAAACTTTGTCGAGAACTTGTCTCTCACTTCCTGGCGAAGAAGAACACTATCTCCTGGTCTAAATCGCTGTAACGTGCGTTACGTTTCACGTCCGCATACTGCCTTGATTTCCACTTCATCAACTGATCTCTATCTTTAACCTCCTCGTCTAAAATCACTCTCTCTAATTCTGGTAATTTGGTCCTTAAGGCCCTGTTTCGTAGAGTGCGAAATTTGATTTAGTATCTGGCGCCCCCAGTGTTTCTATAGGGGTTTCCATAGCCGTAGTAGTGAGTTTACCGAGTCAACTTAGCGTTGAATTGAGATTTCGTTTATAATGATATAAGTTAAGAGGTGCTAGACGTGAGTAATTAATTAACACATAGTAGATTCATATACGTATAGGTGTAATTTTGGCCTACCTGACGTGGAAATGTACCGAATACTCAGTACAGTTGAAAACAACTGCGAAAAAATCGCAAGTTGTTCTCGGGTGGGACTCGAACCCACGATCTCCAGATCACTAGCCTGGCATCATACCTCTAGACCACCGAGCTTGCGCCTGATAGCCAGGGTTGAATTCGAGTCCAAGTAAGCAGCGGGTACTGCAGTGTTGATAGTAATTGTTATTGTCGTGATGGAATAATAGACAATAACTGGATTTGCGTCAGGAGAAACATGTATAGGTGTAATTTTGCCCTACCTGACGTGGAAATGTACCGAATACTCAGTACAGTTGAAAACAACTGCGAAAAAAATCGCAAGTTGTTCTCCGGTGGGACTCGAACCGGGTAGATTCATATAGATAGAACGTTACAGATGCTTTCCCGTTATTCATGTTATACCGTACTGTTGTAAGGT